ATAATGTATGTTTGTCACATAATAAAAATGATAAAGAGAAGCTTGTTTAATTAATATTACGACGTTCCACCCACCGTCCTTGAGATCCATGGAGATAACCCTGAAAAGAGATCCACTTTTAAATGGAGATGAACAAGATGAACAATCTCCCCTGATCTCCCTCCTCATCACAGATCACAGATCACAGGTCGGTGTAGGTCGGTGGTGTCGGCGTCGGCACCTCTAATTTCAAAATAACCGTGTAACCGAAATGAATATCGAAGAGATTTTTAATCCTGAACAACCGTACTGTTTTATTCTGTTTGACTCTTATTAAATAAATAAGTAATCATGCTGACGCTTTTTGATATCTCTCTTCCATTGTGAAAATACAACGTTCCGTCGAAGAAATAGGTTAATGTTTACTCATAGCATCGTAAACAAAATGAATCGGAAATTAATGCAATCTGTCCGAACGTACGAGAGGAAGAAATCAAAAGAAGTAATAATTCCATTACGTAGAGTGGATGATTCGACGTTCGACAGTATTAGAAATGTTTGTGTTCCACTAACCAAAAAGTCAAATGCAATTGATGAGGAAAGTGGTAACGATAATTCTGTACATGATCCTTTCGACACGACATTTGACAGACTTCTTAAAAATACGAGGTATGCGATTTGAAATTATAATGTTAATTAACGATGCTTAACTCAGTTTTAATTTATAGGATACCACCGAAGCTGCCTAAAACAGATAACGACTCACTGTCACTTGATAGCACAAATAGTAGTGTTGAAAGACGTAACAAAAATAGTTCTCAAGAGAAGTCATATAGTTTTAAGGTAAAGTCGTTTTCCATAGGGAAAAAGACACGTAGGAAACAGAAATCAGTATTGACGAACATTAAAACTGGGAAAGTTAAACTACAGAGTACATTTGGTACATTGAAAGTAAGTGAATTAAGAGTTTCATAATCATTAGACTGCAGATTTTATGTATTTATAGCAAAATTCAATAGTTTATTCCCACAATTTATACAATACGTACAAATATTCTGTATTTTTTTAATGTCTCCCATTTGTTCCACTTTTGCATGAAATTCTGTAATAATCACGTAGCGGATATTGCAAAAAGAACTTTATACAAGATAATCGCTCACCAGTATAAACGTCTTTGAACAGGTGACTAAAAATAAACCTCAAAATAAGAAAAATGAGAAGAAAACAACGTCAATCATATTGGGAATTGATTCTTCAGGTGTTAGCTTCGAAGCTAACATCTCTGACGCGAAGAAACGTAATCAAAAAAAGAGGAAGAACGTAGCCAAGAGAAATAATGTGAAAAGAAGAAAAAAAAATAACAACTCAACGAATCGAATACCTCCTAAGTACGTAGAAACAAAGCGATGCTCCATTCATTTAGACAGGCTTAGTGTAGTTGAACATAGTAACAAAATGAATGAGGTAAAAAAAGAATCTGATCAACTGCAGCAGGAAGTTAATCAAATGAACAGTAGTAATTTACGACATAACGATACGAGTGTGAAACACTGTTTCGTTAGATTAGAGCATTTAGAAATGGATTCGTGCACAAATCCAAGCCTCGGAAAGGAATCCGAGAACAATAACAGCGATACAAGTATTAAGCATTGCTTCGTGCAATTAGAATATTTAAAAGAGAATTCGTTTGTAAGGCCACGTAATGCGAAAAGTGTACATGAAATGATAATTAGTAGTACACCAATTGGCAGACCTCTCAGATCTACTACTTATAGAATTCACATGTCGCCGATTCTGATGAGCTACTCTGAAAAATCGAAGGATAATAAGGACAAATCGAATAATAAATACAATATTTCTTTAGAGTCGAAGTCCGCCGATTCGTACATAAAATTGGGAACAGAAATGAATGAATACAAAGATAAGCCTAGGCTCTACTTAAGTTTAACAAACACGTCTGTTTCTAGTAAATCAAATTCAGATCGATCAGAAAATATAAACGAAATGAATAGTGTTTCATCAATTATTTGCGATCAGAGGAATTCTATGAAAAACACTTCTGAACGCGAGCAAAACGGAATCTCAAATAGTCTGATGTTCACAGTAAAAGATGAAATTATAAAAACGAACCAACAGTGTTTAAGATTTTCTATCGATCCAAACGGATCACCTTCTTTATTCAATGATACTTCCAGACAAATTCGAAGTCCGTTAAACGGTAATACGGAAACAGTGCTTGCCAGTAATTTAAAGATAAATAATGAAAGTCCAGTCGATATTGAAGAATCAGATCGAAATTCGAATGAATTAAGTAAGAACTTAAGTTCAAGTACCACTGATAAAAGTCCCACAATCGAGAAAACACAGAAAGAATTGCTTGGAAGTTCAGTCGCAGCTCCATGGACACCATTCGCATCGTTCGACAGTTCAATAATTAGTTTAGAAATAAATGATAAAAGCAAAGGCGCAGATTTAATTAAACAGTCCGCGCTAAATGGATCCATGCCGTTAAACGTCGATACTTTTGGAGATAGTATAGAAAGACAGAGCGCTTTATCTCCTTGCGTAGTTTTAAAACGTTTACAAGATCCTATTAGGATAACAAAGAGGAGAGAATATAAGAAATGGAATCTTGATTTGGATAATATTGCAGAAGATTATAATGATAATACCGATTTGATGAACAAAGTGGATGAAGTAGGTAGAAAAAGTAAAGGTAGAGAAACGATATTGCCAGAAAAGTTGCAAGCATTGGAAAGGGAATCTCTCGGGAATACCAACGGATCTGATAAGTCTATATATTTAAAGCCTGGAAAATCCTGGGCGAGATCAATAACGATTTTGAATAATGTAAGGAATGGATCTGATTTAGAGAAATTGTCTATTGGCAAAGGTAAAAAATGGAGGCGCAGTGTTCAGGATATCTTGAACATGCAGAAGCGAGGTAATTATAAAATATTATGTCAACAATTAGTGTTAGACGTATTTTATTTGATTAGAAGATTCGTTATCGCGATATGAAGGGACATTGATTAATTAACATAGGTATACGTATACGAGAACATCTGAACGTTGTTTTTATTATTTGACAAGGCAAAATTTTATTAAATTTATTAACCTAAAGTATTAATTATACACTTTATACTTTTTCATGTTATACATTTTTCTCATACAATATACAGAATTTATTTTATTCGTTTTATTCCTTGTCTAATTTTGTTTTCAAATTAAACTTTCATTTTATTTGTGTACACTTTTTATTATTGAAAGAACGAAAAAAAAATGGAAAAAATATATACTAATATTTCTTAAAAATATACACTAAGTCCTGTGGTAAATGGGTGGGTTTTAAAACTGTCAAATAGCGTTTTCTCAAAGTTGTAAGTGTACTATTTAATAATCTTGTTGTTGCGTTTAGGAAGTATACACAGCTGCATAAAGAAAAATGCTAGTGACAAAGAGCTACTCAACGAAATAAATAATAAGCCAGAAAATGAAGTTACTGGCAAGGGTAGAACACCTGATTCCGCTAACGTTGCACGTGTCTCGCGAAAGATATCAGTTCGCGTCGTTCCGATCCGCAAGAGTGTAAAATCCATAGAAGATGCACCGTTCCTCGAGGTCTACGGAATCGTTCCTGTTAGAAGCCAAAGATTCACGCTGATAAACAGTAAATACTTTCAATTAGACACCTTCCTTTTTACTATTTTTATTAATATATATTTTCTTTAGATCCTCGGCGATCTTCGGGCAATGTACAAATCGATCATGTCGACGGCCAAATCATCGAAGAGCACCCGAGCCTTACGGCTAAAGAGGTCATTTTACAAAGATGTGTACAAAAGAATTATATCCCTTTCTCGACGTACTTTACGGACTCGTAAGTATGAACAGTTTAGAGAAACAGTTCCCTTGTTTCGAGAATGGTAAGATGAGAATAATTTGTTTAGATACTTAAAACATTGCCAAAAAATCGGAGAAGGTGTGTACGGTGAGGTCTTCCTTTACGAAGACGAAGGTAAAAAATCTGTGATAAAAATAATTCCCATCGAAGGGAACGATTATGTGAACGGCGAGCCGCAAAAGAAGTTTCACGAAATTTTATCGGAAATTGTAATTGCAATGTAATTAAAAGTAAAAATTTATAGTTACGACTGAACACGTTCGTGACATTATAACTTATAGACGATATTCGTTTCAGGGAATTGCACAATTTGCGATTCAACGCCAAGTATAATACCGACGGATTTGTAGAAGTGAAGAATATTAAATGTATTATGGGAAAATATCCGGAGAAGCTTATAGAACTTTGGAATATTTATGACGAAGAGAAATGCTCGGATAATGATTGTCCGTCGATGTTCCGCGACGATCAGTTGTATATCGTTCTCGAACTTGGCCACGGTGGCCAAGACTTGGAAGCATTTGTATTTAATACCGCGGACGAAGCTCACATTTTATTCATACAGGTTTTACTTATTCACTTAACTACGTTAAAACCTTTAAAATTATGTACTCTCCTGAATCTCTTCTTGGCAAGCAGAAATGTTCTATCACCAAAAATTTTTCGGAAACGAGCAGAGCAATTCTACTTCATGAATATTGCAAAAATAAAACAAGTCTTTTTTGTTCGATTGCGTAGGCTGCCTTGGCGTTAGCGGTCGCCGAAGAAGCTTTCGAATTTGAACACAGAGACTTGCACTGGGGAAACATATTGATATCACAAACTAGCGAGCCTAGCGTGCACTATAAACTTGGAGACAAGAAGATAGAATTAATTAGTAAGGGTGTGAAGGTGTGTATCTTGAAACTAAAATTTAGTATGTCAGAATAAAATGCTACGTTTACGATTTTTAGGTATCTATCATAGACTTCACTCTTTCAAGGGTAACGTATCAAGGCTGTAGCATATTTAATGATCTCTCGTCGGATCCTACGCTTTTCACGGCGCAAGGTGAATATCAGTTCGAGATATATCGCTTGATGCGAGACAAAGTTAAGTAAGTACCTAAGCAGTTATTTAAATATTCGCTCTGGCCGCGATTCCAGTTTCCGTGAATTGGCGATTTCGTTTCAGGAATAATTGGCACAATTTTGAGCCGTATACAAACATTTTGTGGCTACATTACACTTTGGATAAAATGATTAGAGAAGTTAGGTATAGAAAGAGAAATCTGAAAATTCATAAAAATGGTATAGTCAAACTTAAAGAACTGAAAAATGAGATCTTATCGTATAATAGTGCCTTCGACTTCGTAATGAACTGTGATAAAGTTAGTAATTTATTATGCATTGACACAAAGTCCGAAGTAACGCTTGTATGAATGGTAAAAATATAACGAGAAATTTATTCAAGCTGTAGATACTACGTTTTATCTTAATTTTAACTATTGTTAGTGTATTAAATACGATTTTAAAAGTTTTATAAATACGAAGGCAATTTTTTATACAATTTTATTATAATTATGTTTCATTTAAAAACAAATGCTTTAAAGCGTACATTATTAATTGTATATAATTCGTTCCGCGACAGATTATATTATCAAAAGTTTCACAATATTCGAAGTTCAGAATAAACGTCGTATAAAAATATATCGCAGCTTTGTAAAGTTTATTCGTACGAAAGAACAGGCGATTTTTTAAACGTTGTGAACCTTGATTTCAATAAAGGTAGTTCAATTAATCCGTAGGAAAAGGCCTGGTGTATTCATCAACATTACTCAATTTATGGTACGCACTGCATTGATTAATAAAATTCCACCAATGTCGATCGAACTGAAACAAATTAATGTATGGGTGAGAATAAAGCAAACAGAGAAGCAAAATTAATTTATGGCTATTTCACGTACCGAACTGTCTTTTTCCATATGCTTCTCCTTTTCGTATTTATTTTCCGATTCGGAGGATTTCCCCTCACTATTGAAGTACCTGTAATCACAATACAGTTTAATACAAGCCGAATGCAGATTTCTGAAAAAGTTACATTGTGCGGTTCGTCAAATTCACTATAAGTAATTTCTATCAAAAACAAACAAATCGTGTATTACCCAAAATTGTGTTCCAGGCTTGGTTTATAACTCTGCGTTTGTAACGTTGGATACTTTTGAGTATCACCCAAAGTGATCCATTGATTTTGTAGATGCAAGTTCTCTTCCTTTAAAACCTGCGGCACTATTTTACTCTGCAGCGGCTCTTTAAAATGAAAAATTCACGTTAACTGCGCATCGACGTAGCTAAACGTCTGTTACCTTTCTCGTAGATGTTCGTCGGTATAAATTGAAACTTCGCCTCTGTTTCTTGTACCGGCGAATAAAATTGCTGCCGACCGGCGTTATCATATAAACATTGATTCTCATTTTGCATGTGAATCACATTCGAGTCGCGACTTATGATTATGCTTATCCTCTCGTGCAATTCCATCAGTTCTTTCAAATTCAACGACTGCAATCGACACAAGAATTAAATTCACATATTTTTGTGCTGTAGATGAAGTGACGTACTAGCAACCAATTTTCTGATTCAAAAATCTGTTCGCTTTTCATATTATCTTCAAATTGCTTCTGCAAAATTTCGATGTTCGCCTTGTGCCTTTCGCATAGCGCATTTAGACTGCTGTCATAGTTCTTCTTCATTAACGTTAGCTTATCTTGATACTCTTCTATTTGAGACTATGTAACAAACATGCGATATAGATTAGACCTTTAATTGATTGTGTCTGTTAACACAAAATTACTTTAAGAACGGTGCGAAGTTTTGCGTTCTCTTGCGTTAAATGTTTTATAATTTCCTTATGATGTTTTATCTCACAATCTCGATTCTCGATGTGGCTCAATAACTTCTCAATCTCATTCTTATTCTCGCTGTGTTCGGTCTCCGCTTGCCTGAACTGTTTAAACGACGCGTAATTACTCTTCAACGTGTCTCCCTTACTATGTAACAGTTGCGTTTCGATCTCTTCTACTTCATTCTCTTTTATATCCCGTTCTGGATCACGAGATTCCTCTTTCAAATCTTTAACTACATTATCCGTTGCTAATTCTATTTCCTTCTCTCGAGACGTCTACAAATGGAAGGATATATTAATAATCATGAAATTATAATTCATAAGTATAAAGTTACAAAGAATTCTTTTATTACTATGTATTTGGCCTGTAATCTTTTAATGAATTTACTGCCCGGCGAATCTTTTTGTAAAACAGACTGCTTTTTCAGGTTTATCAGTTTCTCACATATATTATTAGATATAGTGTATAATTTGTTTTTCAGTTTTTCCTCCGCTGCCTCGTTACGCAGCATAGTCGACAGCTCGGAGTTCTCGCTCTTCCAATATTCTATATTCTTTTTCAAAAGTTCATTCTCGCGTTGACACGTCTCCAAGCTATTGTCAAGTTTCCTATTTTTATTCTGATCGTTTACAAGCTGCGCTTTTAAATTATTCAGTTCAACTTTCAGTCTCCTCTCGTCCTTATCCAACTTCGCGAGATCCTCTTGCAACGTGTATATAACGTGTATTTTATCCTTCTGCTCGGTCAAAGACACGATCGTCTGGTTCATCAATACAAGTTGTTTTTCAACGTTTTTCACTTTTTCGTTCAACAATTTGTTCTCTTCTTCTAACGTGACGATATGACGACGTTTCTCCTCCACCACGTTTTCGTACTCGATGATCTTCTCCGATAGAATACTGTCGGTTTTATCGATACTTGTTTTCAAGCTAGTTATAATTTTGTCCTTTGTTGAAATAGCGATACTGGTTTGCTTAACAGTTTTACCGAGCCTCACGTTTTCCAGCTGTAAATCCGTCAACCTGCGAACATTAAAATAAAATTTGACACAACAATTAAATTTCACGATTCAGTATTAAAAGAATATTACTCTTTCTCCATTTCTGTGATCTTATGTTCCAAAGTAGCCGTCAGATCCTTAGTTTCAAGAAGTTCTTGAATCTGTTGCGTTAGATTCTTAATTTGTTGATTCTTCGCCGTTAATTGCCTCTTGACTTGCTGGCACTCCTTCGCCCTCCGCGATAACCGATTTTTAGCATTCTCCAGATTTTTATTCTCCTTCTTCAAGACGCTGCAGTCCTTGTTACGCGCGGACAATCGATTTCTGAATATTTCAAGCTGGTCCTCTAATTCTGATACGAGCGCATCTTTCTCGTCGAGCTCCGCGGTTAATCTCGATAAATGTTCTTTAATTATGGCAGTGACGTCAACTGTGTCTGCCTGTAAACAATCGCCTTCTCCTCTTCGTTCCAACCGTTCTGCCATTTCTTCTTTCAATCGAGCTATCTCTACATCTTTCTTCTTTAATTCCTTCTGTTGTTCCTCTATGGTTTCAACTATCATTATACGTTGATCTCCGGCACCTTGCAAGATTCCAGTTTTTAATAATCATAATTACACGCTAATGCTACAATTTATATTTTGAATTACCTTGAAGTGCTGCATCTATCCTGTTGATGCAGGATCTGAAATGTGTCTCGAATGCTTGATTTATTTTCTCATCATACAAATGTTCCTTCTCCGCGTGCAACATTTCGTTTAATAACTGATACAAAATGTCTTCAATAAATTCGTTTATTTTGTCCTGTACTTGCAACAAATCGTTCGGTAGTTGTTTCACGTATGAGTTATATCTCTCGTGCTCCTCTTTATGTTGGTTGTACAAATCGGAAAGCAGCTGCCTCCTCAATGTTACATCTATAAAATATATGAATTAATTCCTAATTTGAATATGTAAAAGGTGGTGAGCAACGTTGATGATGAGGCTGGAGGATTTAAACAGAGGGGAATACTGTATTAGGGAGATATTAGAAAGGAAAAGGGTGGAGCTAAGAATGCTAGATAAGACATTAAAGAAGATTGAAAAGCCAAGGCTATGAAAATATATTTATTTGTACGTTTGAGGAAGAAAGATAAATACCTTCGGAAACGTTGACGGCTGATTGGGTGTCTTTAAGGATTTCATAAAAATAATAAGTCTGCTTAATCATTAATGGACGTTCGAATTCTACATATATTTGCAGCTTGCTTATAAGGGAGCGTAATTTGATCAAGAAACGTGCGAAGTATTGGATCACTTCTCTCTCTACTTCGTCCATATCGTTTCTGCTTAATTTGCAAATATACTTATTATACTCCTAGTGGGAAATGCATATATTTTAATACGTATCGAAGAGATTTCAGTGAAATTAATAACAAATGTGAATACCGTTTCAGAATCGAAATAGAAATCCTCGCAAATAATGCTTTTCAAGTTTCGATTACGATCGGTTTCTTTGTCAGTCCCTACATAATATTTCAAGTCTCCGATCTGTTGCAAAAGATACTGGCTCTCCGTCTTGTAAGTCTGAAGCCTTGTCATGATTATATTTATATTATATAGAATATTATTCGCTTCTTCGCCGATGTCCAAGTCGCACGTTGTGCAACTACAAATGTCCTCGCAGACGTCATTCATCTCTTCCAAATTGTTCAAAGCAGTTTTTAAATTGTTAAAGAAATCGCTGATCTCCTGCTTCATAGAAACCAATTGCTCTTCATATTCACAGATTTTCGCATCCTTATCGCGAGCTTCCAGTTTCAACTGCTCGTACATATTCTTCTCCTCCATCTAATTAATTATCGCAATAGTTAATTCGAGGGAAGATTGAACGAGACGAAGACGACGTACCTGTTCATTATATGCAACTGACATTTCTTTGACTACTTTTACCAGTTGATTCAATTTCTCTTCCTGATTTTTTAATAAACAATTCTGTTCGTAATTCTCTTTACGGAGCTCGTCCCTTTCTTCTAAGACCGTCCTTAATTCTTCCACTGCCTTGTTATAATCTTCGGCTTTCTCAGCTAGTCGATCCACTTCTTGCAATCTTTGCTATCATACAGAAACAACACGGAAATACAAATGAATACTAATAATTTTATATAAATGAAAAAAGCTAACTATAAGTGAATCTTTTTCTAATCGCAGTTTCGTTGTTTCCTTGGCATATAAACGGAGCTTCTCGATTTCTTGAGACTGCAAGTAACAGCTTTCACACTGCTTGTTTAAATCTTGCTTAAACTCTTCCATTAAATATTTATACCCGCACAGCTAAGGAAGATTACAAGAAAAATGTAGGAACTGCAATTAATTGATTATTAATAATTATTACCTTTTTCTTTAAGTCCTCTACTTCGCGATCATGTTCGCGATCCGCTTTGCACAATTTCTCGTGTAGTATCTGCATAGTAAACATCGGAGAAAAATAAATGAAGGGAAGATATATTTTACAAAATTATTTTCTTTACACTTGCTTTGAGATTTCCTTGTTGACCGTGTATACAATCTTCTCTTTCTTTTAACAACATTTCTAAATGTTTATTCATATCACGTAACTCTTCCAGCTCGGCGTCTCTCACCTGGGAATCGAATAACAAATAATACAGTACATTAGAGATATTCCTACAGACGAATGAAGCAACGATCGTGACAATAAATATACACAGAGCTCATTTTTCAAAACGATGATCTCAGAATCCTTCTGAATGATAATCCCTTTATGCACGTTGTTATGCAGATCAGAATCCGATTCTGCTCCCATTTCAATATCAGATTCCGACGGGGTTCCAATATCTTGGGAGCTGTCGCTACAAGATGCATCACATTCAGAACTTTGTTCCTCCTGATTATTAGTTTGTAAACTACTTTTGTCCAGATACATCGCGCTATTATCTTCGCTAGATTTCGACGTGAAAGACGTTTGCGAGATCACCTAAATAACATTCTAATAAGCAGATTGTTCGATGGTGATAGAGAACGTAACGACGAGGTTCATACAGATATAGTTATCCTTTTTTTCCTCTTCTTTATGTCAGACTGGTAACAGACTTGGGTCTCTGCATCACGTGTTTCTCGTCCCACCTATAGCACAAATAAAATGTTTCATTAATTGCGATATTAATGCTAAAGTCAGCGTTTCAGATAAATGATTTTTTCTTGGCCAATTGAAGTCTTAATTATGTATTCTACTCTAGATTATATTAGTGATGATATCTGGGACTTAAATAAGTGCAGGTCTCAGAATAGGTGAAGAAATTAGCCACTAGAAGATTATAGTTAACAGCATATATAATTAGGATTTTGACTAGTCACGAAGAAATCGGTCGCTAGGGAAATTTAATCATTAATCATCAATGCGTCAATTAAAAGTCTGCAACCTCGAGTAAAATGCATAGCAACTGCATGACAATAACATACTTGGACTTCTACATCGATGCATTCTACGCACGATGTCCTCTTCTCGCGACACTCTGAAAAATGCAAATCCAAATTGAAGAATATTAACAAAGACATATTTATATCGATTTACCAGCAACAGGAAGCGATTTCATAGCAGGCCCGCATGGGGATACCAAATTGTAGTTATTCAAACATGAACCCACATCGAACGCAGTTAAAGAGTACGAGTATAATTGATTCGATTGATTCCTCGCAGCTGGCCTTTGCCTCGTTTCATCGTACAAATGCCTTTCGCAGGGTATATGAATTGAGAAACACGAATTTGACCGGACCATAGAATTCGACGTTCTAGTATTATTGAACGCGTCTTTAATAAGTCCTGTCGTGTAGTTGGATCTGTTCATCAACTCTTTCGCTTTCGGTGAATAATTCTACAAGAGAAATACATCCGATTAAAATCGTTAGGACACGTTAGAAATGATGTAAAAAACGCCTTACGAGATCCTTTAATTGCTGCCTTTGCTGAGGAGTGAGTTCCAGAGTTTTGTACTTCTGCAACTCTTTTTTAACAGTTTGCAGTTCATTCTGTGCTTGCGAATTCAACTGGATTATGTTATCAATCACGACGTTGAACGGTATTATCTTCCCTATCTGGAAGAAGAAGAAGGCATTTAAGTAACTTAGTTGAAAAACGTGTTGCCCTTGACTCGTTACGTACCGGGGATTCGTTTTCACTAAGTTCACGGAAGTAACGTGACTTCTCTAAAGAGTTCGGGCTCCAGGCTCTGATGTCTTGGCAGGAATCGTGTAACTTCAACCGGCCTTCCAAACGTTTCTTCGGTAAAACATAATCACCGTACATCAGAGGTGTGCCTGAATTGTGTTTAGTAGCCAAAAAGATTCGCGGCCCGTGCTCGACGTAAGACATGTTTGCTCTTCTCTCAGTCCCATGCAACATCAATTCTATCCTTCTTACACATTAATTACCGCTACCATATCAACATAACCGATGGAATCGAGAAGTCCTTGCTAAAAATATAATATATAAAGTGAGTTGCACTAGCGCATGCCGCGCACCATCTTCCACTGTTTTTATTTATAATAAGCTGAAGTGAGAAACAAAAAATTAGAGGATATTGAATTATGGTATCATGAATTATA